CTGAGGTTTTTTTTTGTATAACATTCAGTGGTGGGAACTGGGAACTGCAACCAAAATGAACTGTTTGGTCAAAGTGGCTCTGAGACTTGACTAGGGGTGGCTAGGTCTGAGAGCTGCCAACAGCTAGGTCTGAGACTCAGCGCCCAGGCGCTCAGGTGCTTTTCACCAGGTTGACGTCTCAAACGAACAAACAAACACCTCTTCAAACGCACCTTCGGCCCGAGCCACCGCGAGCCAAGAGGGAGGACGGAAAGAAGACACGGCGAGCAGCGGTCCAAGGGCGGGTCCAAGGGGAAGTGGTTGTGGTGGAAAAAAGACCACCGAACTGAACCGAATCGTGATGGCACCAATCCCATGAGTTTTTGTTTCGGAGCTCAGAGGCGGAGGGGGAAGGCTCTGGTATTTCCGCTCCAGTGTCCAATGAAACATGGCATGATGGAAGGATCAATCGGAATGAGGCGACCTCCCAACAAGGGGCCTATTGTCAAACACCCCCCCTTCCATTTGTTGCACACCATGCTCATAGTCTCTCCATATGTGAGGTTCGCAGAAGAAAATACCAATGGAGACTCATCAATATGAATTGACTGGCCAAAGAGCACTTGTCTCCGTGACACCATGCTCATATGCTCTCGCATACTTCATCGGTCATCGGTCTACTGTAAGTCAAACCACTATTGTGGTAAACGTGCGGAACCTCGTTGTGAAGTGCTCAAGCAAAGTCGCTCACGGTGCGGTCGTTATGCAGTAACACAAAAAGAAGATGGATCTCTAGAGGCTTAGACAAATCATATATATGATATCAAAAGCAAAATGACACGTCACAATATGTGTATTGAGGTGACTTCATTGTATAATTGATTCAATGCTGCCCTGGGCTGCCAGGACCTAACATCGGTCCTAACCCTCGCAACCCAATCACAAGCCTACGAGATCAGGCTCAGCAAGGAGTCAAACGAAGAGATTGATGGTTCTCCCAATATTCACAGGGTAAACAACCCCTTCAAATTCCCTCTGCGCAGTTATATACCAATCCTCTTCAAATCAAAGGTTCCATGTTCCTCCACGTATTCCCCGATTCTTTACACACGAAAACCAGGGCACCTCATCGTGCGTCCAACATCAACATCCCTCCTTTCGTCCGTGCCCCACCCTGTGCAGCCACCACCGCGGGGGGCATCCCCGGCCCCTTGAACTCTCCTGCGGCTGGATGTTGAAATGCTTCAACTCCTCTCTGCGCTTGTCGCGCGACGAAGCCGCCGACGCCGAAGCACCCGAGGCTTCGGGACCCGAGATGGGGGATCGGTAAGGGGACCGCGCCCGCCGAAGCGGCGCCCGGCGAAGCGGCAGCATCTAGTGCTGCGGCAGTCTTTTCAGCACCGGCCTGAAGACTTCTCACCACTTCCAAGTGGCCAAGAAGAGCTGCCTGTTGTGCCCCTTTTCGGCCACGGCATTCTTGCCCGCATCTGCCTCGTGGCCCTTTTCAGCAGCAAAGTGCCTTTTTTGGCACCCGCTTCCAGAAGACATTGCACCTCTTCTTCGGATGGTCCAACGGATGGCCATGCATATTCAATACGCCGAACGGCTTTGCCAACGTGGTCAGCTGAATCTCTCTGACGTCCAGCCTCGCCCTGCGGTCCGAGCTTCTCTGCGCGCCACCGATGGCGTCGTTTGGATCTGGTTCCGGGCGTCGTCTGCCGCCATGATCCGTGAACTATGGCCGGCGCAAAGCATTGGGGAAGGACCAAATGACCCCTGAATCTTCTCAGCGCAGGGCCTCACCACGCAGGCGATTCCCAGCTTCCTGAGGTACCAAGAAATCACTGGAAAGCAGGATACACTTTGCAGCTCAAACAAACAACAACTCCCGCCCATCCTACCCGTCCCGCCCGTCTCCTGCGCCCAGTGCGAGCCGTTCATCGCCCCGAAGACGAAGTGCTCCGCAAAGCGCTGCTGAGCACCTGGTGGAGACGCCGAGATGCGGGGCCGACCTCAAACACCACGCGCGCAGGTCTGGAAGCAAAGGAGGCTGAGAAGTCATTGGCACCACCAGTGCACTATTCCCATCTATATACCCCAAAACCCAACCTGCTGGTCTTGTTTCACCAACCTGCTGGTCTTGCAGAACTCTTTCCCGTGCTCCACAATCCTAACAAGATCTGTGCTTTCACCACTTCCCCGGCCAATTCCGTCCGCGCGCGCCTCGCACTTCCGCTTCGAGCGCCTCGGTGGCCTCGTTTTGGACGCCAAAGAAGACTGGTCCCCAACGGTGGCAACCCCCACCGAAGGACGCAGACATCGTGCAGCCATCGGAGAAAGAAGGGGAGCATCATGGAGCGTTCGAAACTGACCGAGGCTCGAAATCCCTTTCAAACATCAACAACTTCTGAAATGGCCGACACCGACCATCCGCCGATGCCCGCCTCTGCCACTGCCACAAGCACAGCCGACCTGGGCTATGGGGAAAGGTAAAATGGACAGACATCGGGACCTGAGGTTCCTCTAGGCTTCACAGCCGCTGCTTCCATGGGGGCTCTACTGAACAACTTCATTTATTTTTGCAGAGGCTTTAGATATCTTTAGATGGCTTTTAGGCGCCTCTTGAAAGAGCCAAGTGTCGCCTACTTGAAAGGGGTGCGGTTTTGTTTGGGGAAGTTCATGTTTTCATCACCCCTAGGCCTTCATCTGTGTTCCCCATCATCCCCATCAGTCAGCTCGCAGAGTCCGGCCGACCTTCCGATGCTCTTTTTTTTGTGTGCCAGATAGACCACATCCACCCCTTTTGTGCCTGCAATCAACCCAGCCCGAAAAAACACCATACCCCCCAAAGAAAGACAGCTGAGAACAAGCACGGCAACATACAGCAGGGTCTTCCTCCCATGCCACCTCCAAAACCTTCCAGCGTTCTTCTCCCCCCCGCCCACCGCACATTTCGACCCGCACATTTCGACTGGACCCGACCGCGCCTGTCGCTGTGGGTGAACTCATAAAAGTTCTGCTCTTGCAGGGCCCAAACCCCCGGAAACCTCCGCCGTCCGACGTCCGAGGTCTCCCGACGTGGGGTCGGGCGTGGATCCGGAAGATCTGGAGCATGCAGAGGGCAGTTTTGAGGGGGGGCAGGCGGGTGGTGCTTGGGATGCTTGGGGGCGCACAAAGGAACCGGCCCGGTTCAAAGTCTGATTCTCCTGAAAGTTCCAAAGACAGGATCCAATTGGTGGGCCACAGTCCAATCAATTTTTATTGTGCCGGTTGTGAGTACACGAATAAAGTGCTACTGATCACTGATCACACGCACATTCCATATACCTACCACTACCACATCCTATCAAAACACAGTCGCTGCTTCTCAAACAGCACAGCTGCTGACCTCCACACGGACCCAACTTCTTTCCCATGTGCTTCCCATGTGTTCGGTCGGCCTATGCGCAGCGATCCATTCGTCCACGGCCGACCTGAGCGGGTCGACCGGCCGAACCCGGGGCCGAACCCCGGGGGGCCGAACCGGGCGCCTCGGCCGAAGGGGATCCAGATGGGTCGGTGTAGGCCGAAGGGCGAGAGCCGAAGGCACGGATGCCCCTTCTTTCGATACGAAGAGGTGAACCAACTGCCACCCAACTCCAGCACCTGGCTGAGACTATTTCCACTTCTCTATATATATAGTTTTTGTTTAGAAATGTACTTCAGATAGAGGATCGGATTTTTCAAGTCTATCTTTTCGTGGCAGGTGCAGGGGTCAGATTTCTAGACTAGTTTAACTGTCAATCCATGCTACTTACAGGCGTTCAGCTGTTGATATCTGACCGCAAGATGTGGCAGACATGAACGCATGTAATGTAAGCTTCTACTGGAAAGGTTTTCTCATGTATTCCAACTCTCAAAAAAGGCGAAACTCTTCGCACGCAAGCATATTCCACGCTCCAGTGCGACTGTTGCATTCTAAGGTGAGCAAGAACAGTACTAGTAGGACAAAGAGGTCTACAATTCAACATGGGTGCGGTGCGGTCCCGAGTGAAAAAAATATAGACATTAATTAGTGGGTCGTCGATCCCTACCCTGTGCAGGCCTGGGGGGAGGCGTCCCTGATCCCTCCCTCTTCTGGGCGCAAGCTGCGTGTTCTCCATGGAGCCTTGGAAGAAGGCCACCTCGGTGTGTGGCAGACAGCAGGATGTCGACGGACGCGTCCGTCGGCCCCGTGGAGCGGCCCAGGGGTGGTCCGAGTCAAAGACTTCTCGAAAGAATTGGGACAGACCGGATGCAGGGGCCTGGGTACCTCCTCCAGTTGGGGAGCTTCCTCTGACTTCAGCGAGGCATCAACGAAATTCAACAAAATCGAAACAATAAGTTTTTCGGCTGCCACAGCGGGTACTCCTCCGAGGTGGCGACTCCAGAAGACGTTCTTGCCATGAGAACATGCCTTCTTGATGGCCCTTTCTCGAGCGAAATGAGAACATGAGAAGTCGCTATCGCGAGGTCTCTGCGATTTTGGAGGTCTTCCAACTCTACTCTTGTCCATCGGAGGCCCCACATGTCAGACCCCAGCAAAACCCCTTTAAACCACTCCTCCCGACTCCCCCCCCATCCCCACGGCCTCAAAAACGAGACCTAGCGCCGCTACCGCCGCTCCTCCGGGACGCCCACACCGCGGGGACGGCACCGCTCTGGCCCGGCCACTGTTGTCGCGCCGGAGAGAAGACCTGGGGGAAGCACGGAGCCCCGCAGCGCGCTCCGTACGGCGGCGCAGCGCGCAGCGCAGCGCTGCGGCACGGAGACCCCCGGTCACAGGTTGATAGAGAACATGCATTGCTCATCGACTGACTGACTTCAGATGCACTTACATTGCATTGCACCCCATAGGACTGTATACATAGAATGGGAGACATTCACACACAAACATGGAACCTCAATACATGATCTTTCCAATGATCACTTAGTTGTTCATCTCACAGGACTTCCTTGTAAAGGATTTTGTTGTTCTGTTCTCTATTCTGCAGGATTGTTGGGTGAGACTCATCAGGTAATGGTTTGAACCGTTCCACGCGCAGCTTGCAGTTCCTTTTCTTCCGCCCACAGTGTGGCTGAGCGCAGTAGCTCAGGAACCACTCCTCGTGTAGACGAACCTAGGCGCAGATCAGTGATGGCGGTCAGAAATGACATGAAAGCATATGAAAGAACTAGGACACTAGGAACCCACAAAAGGAAGGATCAATCCCATGACGTGCGCGACCCCTTCCCCCTTCCATGTCTTCCAAAAAGGACCTCCCAACCGTTTGCTCCCGTCCCTCGGGTGACCATCCATGACCTCAGAGCGATGCCGAGCAGCAAGCGTGAGCCGGTCGCACTCCGAGTCGTCCAGCTCCTCAGTGACAGTCTGTCCCTGGGGAGATTCGGTGAAGACCAAACGTGGAGGTTTTTCGGGGTCTAGTCAGTCATAGCTCGTGCTGTCCACTCATAACATCGAAGCACACTGACTTGCACACATCTCCACTCACTTTCATCCCCCACTTCGTCCACCACATCCGAGAGCTCACTGCCCGCACGTGCCGCCTGCCACCCCGGTGTCCACCGGTCGTGGCTCGTCCGCCAAGCGGCGTTTGGAGGTTGAACTCCTCTTCAACGAAGCCGTCCAAACCCTCGAGCCGCGACAGGGCCGCCACCACCCGCGCGCTTCGTGCCTGGACCATCCATCATCCCCCCCGTGGGCCGTTCCCCAAACGAAGCGAAGAAAGGTTCTAAGAAAAGAAAGAAACTCCTCTGAGCGGGGTTCCCGTCAAAAGCGAAACTCTTCAGGTCTCGACTCGCAAGATTGTTTGGTGATGTTTGATGTGTTCTTTGGGTGACCAGGTATGACCAGGTACGCTTCCCGCAACCATCACTTTGTTTCGTGGACGGAAGAAAAACCATTGCCTCCGTCCAGACCGCTGGTGACCACCAGGTCACCCACCCCATACATCGGTCTTCCCCACATGGGTCTTGGATGGACGAGTTCACACGAAGACAACCGCCTCAGAGTGGAGCTTTTGGCTCACCCGGCGGATCATCGGGGCGCCCCAGGTCAGCGAGGCCTCGATTCGGTGAAGATCCCAGAGAAAACGGGCCGGTCAATGGGTCTATCGGTCTATCACTTGTTCTGCAAAAGCGGCAAAAAGGTGCCAAAAACGAAGGAACTTAGCTTGTGTTACACTTGTGTTTATGTTTTTTTCAGTCCACCCTGTCACACGCTGATGTTCGAACCCAACGGATTGACCAAGCGTCGCTCAGAGTCTATTTTGTATATATCCAAAAGCAACACTGCCTCATCTTCTGCGATCTTCCGGTTTCTTCCTCCTTCCTGTCGAAGAAATCGCCCCCAAGGAAGCCGAGCTGCCAGGTAGATATGAGTGAATTCGCTCACGTCCACCTCAAACCTCAACGACCAGGTCTCGTCGCTCGCACGACCCAGAATTCTTGTTCGAACCGGCGATCCAGGTGCAGGTGCTGGTGATCATCCGACTTTGTTCGACATGGATCAATGTACTCTCCCTGAAATCATCATGGTTGTGTGGAAAACAACCCACCTGCTTGGTCTTCGGACTTCACGGTCATCCGAAATCGGGGCCCATGGTGGGCGATGCCACAGCGACACCCGCCCAGCAGCCACGCGGCATGTCCGCCTCCAGTAACTGGACGTCGCGCCGGCGTTGGTGCCGAAGCTGCGCCAAGGCCACTGACGCCTGGACTACTGGGTAGCGAGTTGGCGCGTGAAAAAGTTCCTAGAATCCTTTGCTCCTAGTAGTAAGGCCAGGAGCCCCGAACCAAGATTCTGACAACTGTCGTGTAAGAGGCTTGAGTTTTCACACACAAGTGGCAGTTCACGGGATGTTGTTCCATCAGATCATGACTGACTGTCACTCAGCGTGAAACACTAGGTACATAATATATATATATATTATATCGTATTGTAATATGATGATATATATATATGTGTGTGTGTGACGTGATCCTGGATCCCTTTTTCCCCCCTTCTTCTTCCCCTCTTCGCGCATCCTCTTCCTTCCGGATTCCTGCGTGCTGGAGCTCAGCAAGGCGCTCTGCAGAGACTTCTGTCGCAGCTCTTGGAGCTCCCCAAAGCGGATCATCGTCTCCAGCGCCTCCTGCGACACGCGCGCCGCATGCGCCGTGCACCGAGTCGGAGGGTCGTTCAGCAGTCTGTGGGGGCTGCCATCTATATGGGGAGGTCGAAGTGGATGAACAGGGGCGATGTGGTCAGTGTGTGGGGGTGGGGGTGGGGGTGTGAGTGGGCAGGTGGGCATGTTGCTATGTCGCTTGGAAAGAAGATAACAAATTATTTGCTTCTGGCCCTGAAGCCTCCCAATAAGACCCCTAACATACTTCCCTTTCCAAGCTCATTCAAACACGGCTCCACTGTCTGCCACTGAGCTGTTTCACCCGCTGCGAAGTGTTTCTGGAGAGATGAACGATTTCCAAAAGTCCATGAGAACTTCCACACTCAAAGGCTGCAAAGGCCGATTCGTGCCGATTGATATCTAGACACACACTCTGACACTTGTATTCAGTGACTCAGTTACCACGTTGGGAA